ACACCATGAAGACGGCGACATTGCTAACGTGGCGCTTTGTTGCTGACCTGGCAAGATACCAGCGAGAGCATCGTTGGGTGTATGCTGACGTGGCGTTGGTGAGACAGAGCGTGGGTATCGAGGCTGCTGATGTGGTGCGCTGCCTACGTGGCATAGTGTGGGGGTGCTGATATGGCATCCTAGGATTGGCAGGGCATTGTCCGACGTGGCATACCTGTGGTGGATGAGTTGGCAGTTTGGGCATTGCTGATATGGCATCCCACCGGAAGGTCGTGCTGGCTCTTGACGCTGTGCTGCATTAGCATTTAAGGTGTGATACGTGGCATGTTTTGCACGCTGCCATGGGTGAGGTGTTGATACTTGCATTTGTGTGCTGGCAGGCGGTACATCTCCTGATTTGTTGTGGTGCCAAGTGTCGGCCCTTTTGTCTGGCCCCATTGGTTTCTTCAGATGATGAAGCCAAAGAGGAAGGATGTTGACAATTGATTATTGTTGATTGTGTTGGGTGACTTACTTACTTGTCTTGGGTGTTCTGTGGTTGCCGTGCATACTCATATGTGATGTTTTGTCCTGATCACACTGGTTGTGGCTGCGATACCTCTGCACTCTTGTTAGGACGTCATCACACATAGGACGGACAACAAAAGTTAGAAATAGACAATAATTAAAAGTTGTTTCTTCTTATTTTTCGTTATTATTTCTTGTTGTAGGAGATTGAAATTCAGTGTGGCTGTGGATTTTATTAGTATTGTTAAATTGTTTTCTGATTATTTATTGTGCGGTATTCACATGCTGGGAAACATGACTTATCTCTGGAAATGTCGACGAGCCTTTATTTTCACGAGATACATCCCTCTTTTCTCCCTTCCTATCCCTCTCACTGTCTATATCGATGAAGAAGGGGGGGGATTAAGAATCCGTGGTTAAATAAATGCGAAAAGGGAAACATTGAAAGACCTTCTTCGCGAGCTGCTTGGCGGACCGGAAGCTAAACGGCATGTTCACAGACAGTCCAATCTGCTCATTGTAGAAGAGGAACTAAAGGCTGTGGAGACTGTCGTTCAGATGCTGGAAACTAGTAACCAGGTTGAGGAACTCATCAAAAAAGGGCGAATGACTCTTGATCGTTGTGTTGCCGAACGTCCGGAATGAATGGCCCGAAAAAAAACAATTGGAGGAGAAGGTGAAGGAGAGAAAAAGGAAGAACCAGAACTGTCTGAAGAGATCATGGAGGAAAACATCAAACGATTAGAAAATCCATTGAAGGACAAGAGAAGAAAGATAGAAGAGTACCAGAGGAAGGAAAAAGAAAGAGAACAACAAGAAAGGATGGTAGCAGAAATCAGACAACGATTTCATTATGAAGAAACAAAAATTGATCTTGCATCCGTATTACAGGCCATGATGGCTTATCTTGTTCACCTTCAGACCAAAATTGATATCGTTGTCAAAACAACAGTTGAATAATGCTATATATTACAAAATATAATCATTAATGAATGAAATACTTTCAAAAGAAATTTTGGAAGTCAGTAAAATCCATTAAAGACAACGACGTTCTAAGATACATGTTGCCATTTGTTGTCTAATAAGCGGGATATCTTTATGAGAGAACCTTAAAGGTGGTCGATCACCACGTTGTAACAGCGTTGCAAATGTCAACATGAACACCCCGCAATGAGCTTTATCCACTTGTCTTGGAACTCCTTCCACCATAATGTTTGCCGCCATCGACTTTCAACTCCTACCCAATAGGCTATGTAATGTTTCATGTTCCAGATACTGTAAAATCAACTTGAAAACAACAAGGTAAAAACTCGAATCAGCTACAACTTGGGGAAAAAAATCAAAATTTTTGAAGACATTGTCTCTCAAGTTGACGGAAAGGAGGATCCAATGATTACTATCTTTGTGGACAGGAACGACAATAATATCGTGCTGAAGCAAATCTACATTTTTAGCCCACCTTTCGACCCCATTGTGCCCTTGAAGTTGCAGCTTACTGAAGAAGAATGAATTAAAGTTGAATACTTGAAGGCTTGACGACATATCACGTCTCGCACATGTGGTCGACCCCAAAAGCGCCATGAAAAAATTAGCCACCTCATCATTCACTATGTCGTCGATATGCAAAAGGGTGAGGAAATCTTTTGCTGCAATTCGTAATTGATCATCAACGAGGGTAGAAAGAAATGTGTGAAGTGGCACCAAGCCTCGTATAATGTTGTCTTGAACCCGCAAGCGGCCTCGGGAGTTGAAGCAAGCGGGTGCAAGTGGAGCGCCCGTCGACCTGGAGACGACGACGTGCGCCGGAATCCGAACTTCTTCACGCGGGAGGCCTCAGACAGAGGTTGTTGTGCCGGTGGGAGGGGCTACGGCTGTGGAGACAGAAGGGCGGTCGGTGGGAATCGACAAGGGTTAGGGGGAAGGGGTTGAATTGCATGGAAGGGATGGAGGGGAGGAAGGGGAGGAAGGGGGAGAAAAAAAGTTGATTGAATTGCTTGAAGGAGAAGAGGGTGGCAAAGGGGATGTGAATACTGAAGACGAGGAAGGGGAGGATAATGAGAACGATACCCACTCTGAAGAGTCGTCTGACGAGTTCAGGCAACTGTACGGAGAGCATCGTGGCCATGATGTCGATGATGATCCAACGACAATAGAGATGGAGACGCCAGTGACCAGTGACCTTTCCGCAGAACGTGAAGTCTATGAGGTTCAATCACTGACGTCCGCAGACGATCTCCAACACGGGTGCAACGAGGTTTCCGTTACCGTGAGTCCGACTAAACTGATTCGCCGTATAAGCATCGACAAAGTTATCGATGGCATCCTCGGTGACCACCACGTGTCCGCACATCCGTCTACAATGCCTAACGTCGACGAGCCTCACAACGTCAAACCTTTTGTGGTCGTTGCCTTTGTTTTCTTGCCGCCAAGCTCTCCGGTACTCGCAGTCACCGTCGCCAGCGGAGGGGAGGGCGAAGTCGGGGGCCAGCCAGCTAACTGTGCGCAAGCGAAGTGTGAATTTCGACGCACTTCGACGCGGCATCTTGGCTCGACACTCCCACCCCCGACCCGCTCTGCACGGACGACTCCTGTCGCGGCACCTCAAGCAATGTAGTTCGGATCCTGGCGGACTTGGAACTCTTCGTTTGAGCGGCTACCAAGAGCAACCAAGGCGGCGATCCTCTCCCTCACTGAGCTAGCGGACGAAGTCGGGAGGTCGGCGGACTTCATCGCATGCTATGGACCGGGACTCGTAGGCGGATGCCGATCAACGACCACCACCTCCACCTCCACCTCACCGCTGCCTTTCGTTGTCATGGTCTCGTTGTGAGGCCCGCCCTCTCCACTAGGCGGGACGCCTTTGCCACCCCCCCCCATTGTCGCCTTTGTCCCCTCCAATGCTAGGTGCTCCCCCCCCCCCCCCCCCCCCCCCCCCCCCCCCGGGGCACTTTCCAGTCCACCATTCCCTTCGAAGGGCTCGTGTCGAGGTCATAGAAGTCCTCCATCAGTTCCAACCAACATTTGTTGTGAAGTCCATTGAACAACTAGTTAGCAGTGGAAATGATGGATGCGTCGAAGGCTAAAACAACTTGATTTTCGGCCTTCTTTTTTTGGATGACCGAAACCGTCACGACGAGCAGAAAGTTGGACTTGGACTCGCGGATTGACACCCATCCAACATCATGGTCAGCGACGACCATGATCCACTCGCCCTTCCGGATAGTCGGGTGGATGACTCCCGGGTGCCAAATCATCTCATGGACCTACCCCACCTCATTCGAATTAGTATGTGCCTCACCCACAAAGTGAATGTTGGCATCCTTCCAAGAAGGATGACCAGGCCGAACGTCACAACCGGGATGCAATGCGGGCGGTAGGACGGTCAAAGCTCTCAGTCCCTCCAACAACTTCATCGGGGTCATGCCCGGGGTCAGCTTTGCGACACAAGCAGTGTTGGACTTGTTGATGAACTAGCCGACGAGGAGCTTGGGGCATGCCCCGCTAAAGGGTTCTCATACCCTAGGTCGATCCTCTCGTTGTTGCTCTCCTCCTCCTTTGCGCTGACGTTGAAGTCGACACCGGTGGCTGCCTCGTCATCCGTGGAGATCAAGGAAGCGTAACTGCCGAACTTCAATTCCTCGTTAGACTCGACGAAGTACAGGGACCCCAGCCTATCGAGGAAGGTCTTTGCGTTCCTCAGGAAGCGTCGTGGTAGTTGTCCAGCAACGCCAACATGTAGTCCTTACGGCGCACGTACTTCACATCACTATCCTTTGTCGGCTGCATTTCCAAGAACAAGAACTCGTATATATTTTTTCTCTTCCTCTCACTCAACTTGAACCACATGTCCGTCTTATTGCCCCACGCGTGATTCCGTTTCGCCTTCTTGATCACGAACTCGCAGTGGTCGGCCCTCGAGTTGACTTCGCTTTTGACGAATTGCAACATGAATTGCAACAGCTCAGAGTTTCCTTCCAATGCGACAACGTGGCGGCCTGCCTTCAGGAGGCCCCACATGACTTGTGTGTGCGGTTTCCCAAAGATGACGACACCCTCTCCCTTTTTGCAAACGAACTCAAGAACACCAACCAATTGAGTTGCATTGCACTCCATGTCCTTGTAGACACTGCCTTGTCGTTGAGGCGAGGTTATCGACCAAGTCGCAAGGCGTGAAGGGAATCTCCGACACATCCGTCGGGGTCACTTTTTGAGGCAACCGCACCGCCGCAGCGACACCCGCCGGTAGCCCACCAATGTGAACGACCTTCGTGTTTTCCCGCAAATCGTCGCCCTTGAAGAGGATTTACATGCAGTCGTCCTCCACGTACAAATTGTTTCCAACGGGGAAGGTTTTCTTCTGCTAAGCTCTCCTCACCCACTTCCCCTCCAACAGCTTCATGACAGACAGATGGTGCAGGTTAACCAGAAATGAGAGGTTCCACTGCCGTGGCACGAAAACAACGGCCGTCTAGTGTGATGGGCAAAAGGACTGAAGCAGGGAATTCAAAGTCTCGAACGCTTGTGGTTTCTACAACTTCAGGTCAACCGGCTCTCAGAGATTGAGGACGAACATGTGGCTCTTTGTGCTAGCCACCACCGCCTGCAGCTCCTTGCTCCTCACCTCCGCCTCCAAAGGATCGTTGTCAAACAGTGCGATGGATGTCATGTTCCCCTTGCCTTTCCACAATATGTGCACAATGCCTTCGGCAAGTGCGATCTCCCTACTCTTTTGTCTACTGCTAGTCAACACGGAAAAAACCTTGTTCTTCCAGTCGAGGGACAACTTCTTGTGGCCGACCAGCTTTTCCATGGCCTCAATTGTTTGGTCGTCATCGCAGGCCATGTACGGCGGACAATCCTTGAACAGTGTGGAGTCAGAAACGTGTTTCCTGCTACCATCCCACAAATCGACATCCAATCCACGGTTGTCGAACTCTTTGAAGATTGCCGACTTTTTTTTTAGGAAAGGGTACGTTGGGATCCAATCCAAATCCGGCCTCTTCTCGTGCTTGAATCGGTAGTAATTCCACAACCGCACCAGCACACGGTCACACTTCACCAACTGCACCATTTCCTGCATGTCGAGCTTCCCTAGCTTCGCCAACAAACTAGAGTCGTTCTGAACCCAAACCACCTCGCAATCGAGGACCTTCTTCAGGACTCAACATTTCGCATTGTCGGTGAGGGATTCCATCACTTTCCAACAATGTATGTTCACCTCGGTCACTTGCACGAATTAATTACCCTCCTCTTTCTCCTTTTTGCCTTTCTTTGTCGGCAGATCGACAGGGACGTTGTAATCGACCTCCTTTCTACCCAACTTGTCGTTGTCGATGTAGGTGACCCCCGACTTAACGTTTTTTACCTTCTTCTTCTTCACGATCCACTTTGCTTCGTCGTCGGCCAAAAGTCTTCTTGTCTCCTATTTCTTAAAAACATTCATGTCGAGTTTCCAAACCTTCTCTCTCTCTCTCTCTCTCTCTCTCTCTCTCTTTCTCTCTCTCTCTCTCTCTCTCTCTCTCTCTCTCTCTCTCTCTCTCTCTCTCTCTCTC